CTAAGGCAGGAAGGGCATGCAGCGCCACATAGCTCAGCAGGAGGTGCCATAGGGCAGGCATGCCCCACAACACTTCACAAAACTCCCCAGTCCTCAACAATTTATATGAGTTAAATATAAATATTTTATACATTATAGTGTCCTGGCAGCACCACTATAAACAGAAGTCATGACACAACACTAACTCTAAAGGTAGACCTTTCTAAATCCTCTAAAATCAGCATGCTTAGTTGGATTCCTTTTAAATTTAGAATGCCTGAGGAGGGTGCAGACTAGGGTTAGTGATTCAAATTTGGACTCATGTAGAGATATAAGCCCCCCCGAAAAAGCCATTTTTTTCAAAAAGTGTCTAGGTCTGTTTTTTTGTGTTTTGCGCAGAGCTAGAGATCAAACTGCTGATGTGATGCAGGTCAAAATGGTCTCAATCTGCCGAGTTTTACCCAGGATAGTGCACTGCACCCACTAAATCTTTGAGGAACCCAAACTGAGAACGGTATTTAAGAAAATGTACATTTTTACAGTGTGCATGTGCCAATAGAGAAAACAGCTAGAGAGTTTCCATTCCTGCCATTTTATATGCTTTAAAGCTTAACTCTTGTAAGTGATCTAAAATCCAAATCGTTACTTGGCTTGCTTTGAAATTTGGTGTACCTCTTGGGAGCTTGGGGGTAGCATTAGTGATCCAAATTTGGGATCATTTGACTAAGGAGTTCCTAAATTACAGGATCCCAAAAAACTTTGTTCCTGCTGCCTTGTACTGTTAAACTTCGAGATACAAATGACTGGATGAATTACCTCTTTGACCTCTTTGAGATTGAGAATTCGTCCTTTAATTTATCCTTAAATTATGTTAATTGATCACAAGCCCCCACCTAAAACAGAAGTAGTTTTGTACTGAGTGGTTGGAACCTGTTGCAATTTGAGTCATGGGTGACAGATTTATTTTGGGGAGAACATAATCCAAGTCTTTGGGAGGCAAATTCGACATGTGAATACTTCTTGAGAGGGGAGGCGTTTTTGTGGATGGAGTAGTGAGGGTGTAGGGAGAGATGAATTTGAGGCTGCAGCGAGGGGGGGGGTCCTGGGGAAGAGGTAGTAGGGGAGGGGAGAGAGGTTGAAGGCTCAGATGAGGGAGGTGTGGGAGCTCGGGGGGTAGAGGGATGGGACACTGGGAAGGAGGACATGGGGTGATTGACAGTGGAACTGGAGGAGAATAGGGGAAGGTGCACGTTTCAGCCCCACATCTTCCCTCCTGTGTGTGCGTGCCCAGGTCTTGGAGGTGGGGGGCTCTTTTGGGGGTCTGAACCCACTTGGTGCTCCCCTCATATGAGCTGGCATATGGGAAGCTGTGGCACTCTGGGTGTGTCTGAGCACCTCTCACTGCTGTATGTTCTAGGATCCGGGGGCTCATGCCTATCTATAGGAGTTGAATCACCTACACCCCGTTATTGTGAGCTGGGCTCTTGTGGGGGTGTTGCCCTTTTGGGAGGCCCCCCACTTACCCCCCATGTGAGCCAAGATCTGGGGAAGTCCTACTCCTTTGGGTGGGGAGATAAGATCAGGCATACTTTATACATATCACAAGCTGTAAAGCACAAGGGGGATGACAACATCCACTGAGGTAAATGGAGCAATTCACATGTCTCAACTGTTGTTTCAGATTGTATTCATCTCCATGAGGTGTTCTTATCTGAGAACATCACATTGAGATGAATGGGTCACTTCACACCTTTGAGAGATTCCAATGCTGCAGATAGATGCGTAGAGGAGCACTTTCTCTCTATCTTTCCTATTTAAAGGATGATGCTTATAAAAGCTCTAAAATATGCATGCTTGCACAGATTTTATTGACATTTGCTTTACGTCATGGGAGTGGTGGGTAGTTAGTGACCTGAATTTAGACTCATTTGAGTCAGGGGTTCTGGAGATATAAGACCTGAAAAAATAGCCATTGCCCCAAAAGTTTCTAGATGGCTTTTTTTTTTCCAGAGCTAGAGATCAGACTATTGCTATGATGTTGGCCAAAATGATCTCAATTGGTCAGTTTTTACCCAAGGTAGTGCATGGCAGCCACTGAATCTTTGGGGAACCCAAATTGTGAATGGCATTTAAGAACACATTTACGTCTTTGCTTGCGTAGATGTGCAATTTGGAAGGATTACAGTTCACCGGTCCCAATAAAGAAAGAAATAGTGGGAGGGTTCCTATGCAGCCATTGTACGCTTAACTGGATAGTTCAAGGGAATGTGCTGATGCTATTGCCCCGGGTGACTACCCTGCCATTTCTACTCTGAACCTTTGTACATGTGTACAATAAAGAAAGATTTAATAACTCATATTTCTGTTATTCCAACTGCATCTTGGGAAGTTTTTTGAAGGGTTTTTTGTACTAAGGAAATATTTATTGAATGTTTTATGAATTTCAGAGCAAGAGCTCTGCGTAGCCTTTTTCTGCAACATTGATGTTATATATTCCTTTATCCAGTATAATGAATGCATACTTTTGATGATAGCTTGTCTAGAGCTAATTTATTTTTTAATTAAAGTTTAGATCCAATATTTTGTTGAAATCACCTGCTAAGATTATAGATTTAGTATTCATACTGATTTGGCCCTTCTTGATTTTATCGATCCATTAGAGGTAGCTGTACAGCTAGTTAATGTTTGCAATGAAGAAGATATATTTTGGTGTTCTGTACGCTGTCAGCCTTCCTATTGTGAGACTGTGATGTTTTGGGGTTCAACTCAGACCAGTAAGGAGTTGTCATCAACTGCCTTGTAATCCTAGCTTTGCTGCTGTGGCTCACAGCCTGGATACCAATATCCAGCAGACAAGCATGCAGTTCCCTGAATGTCTGTGTACTGTGTAGCTCTGATTCAGCACTCTGACCCCAACAACCTGCCCCACCCTGGTCTCCATCAGCCTTGGTTACTACTTGCAAAGTGACCCCACTCCTACTCCAGAACGTCCCCAAAACTGGCTGCCCTGAAGTGCCCAGTTCTGTCCTGGAACACTCAGACAAATAATAAGGTTTGTTGTGCATTTGAAGAGACAAAAGCACCATTTATTACTTCAGCTGGAGTTAACAATCCTTTCAATTCAAACAGAACACTGGTTTGGTTTACATTAAAAATAAATTAAGTTCACTAACAAAGAGAGTTTTTAAGTGAGTTCAGATGCAAGGAATAAAGACCAAAATGATTACAAGCTAAAATTAAAATATGCTTTCTAGTGGCTAAGTCTTAAAAGGCTACAGTCTTGGTTCAATGTAGATTCCTTACCAGTCTTTCTTCTTTCCAGCCATGGCTGATTTCTCTGAGTGAGGGCCTTCCACAGAAATATGAGGTGCTAGTTTCCCTAGTCTTCCTAGATGAAAGATGCCCAAATGGCTCTATGTATCCCCTTATATCTCTGAGTTCATTAACCCTGCTTCAAGAAGCAGGATGACTTCATGCTGTTCTTCCCTGCCTGTGTGTTTCCCACCCCCTGCTGATTTTTATGTAAATAGGGCTTCTATTGTTTTGATTTCACAATGCTACCTTTGGGGCTGAGGAAAAATCTGTTTCTCCCTGTGTTTGGTCACAGACTTTAAAGCATAATATTGTGAGTATCCATTATTCTTCACATAGTGTTAATTCATACACTTCACAATGATATTCATCACCAGTGTGTTACAGGCTTTCATAAAATACATTACTTGATACACTTTTATAATACAGCAGTATTGTATGCAATCAGTTGATTCAATTGCTTATCGTTTGAGGTTCAGACCCTTGCAAGAGGCTATCTCCCCCACTCGCTAGGTTCATGGCTTTGTTTACTTTTTATGTAAATGCATCTTCATTGTCACTGTTTGATGACCAGGCTGGTAAGACAAACAAATACGCATTCCTTTGTCTACGGCAGACTGGGCTTATGCATTGCTTTCCAATCATATTTTAAGAACATAATTCCTAAAACTCTTCGAACCTACTCCATATGTATATTATGCAAGAATATTAATGGTGATTAGTGAGTCATTAGTTTTCCAATTATATATTAGATGCCACCTTTTGGGTATATAACATGACAACAGTGTGTTAAGTGTAGTGATTATCAGGTCTGACAGGAATTGCTGTCACAAAGTGGTGAACCACCATGGGCCTCTGTGTCACAGAGACTGACAGAAATCTCAGGGGACTAGAAATTTGACTCCTGAGGGTAGTTCTAGCATTGGACAGCGCTATTGAAGCTCAAGACTTGCTGTCTTACACCACTATCTTCAGACTACCAATACCATTTCCTCCACATTCCAGCAAGTGTCTTTTTGCCCATGATTGGCAATGTAGCTCTTGTTGCCTTGACTTATCACTTCAGTTCTACATTATTATTCTGTACCCATTTCCTGAATGAAGGCAGGGAAGAAAAAGTTTTAAGAGACACTGTAAAGATAGTTGAGGACAAAAGATTACTATACAGATAACATCTTAACAGGCCAGACAGTGGGTGTTGGCTGCAGAGTATACTTTCCCAGAATAATCTGAAACTGTAGTTGCTGAAGAACGATAGATCATCAGAAATAAATTTTTTATCTTGGAAAAGCATGCCCTAACCTCAAGTCATTGAGTTCATAAGAAGGGATTACATTTCATTTGTCCTCCCACCTTTGTCTCCCAAGACTAACCTAATAGCCACCTCTAAAGTTTGTTCTTGATACAGATATCTGCCCAGAAACCACCACTGGTTACTTTAGCTGCTATGAGATCTTAAGTTATCCTAATACAGTTGTGATAAATAGAGTATCTTGTGTTACACTGAAATTGTCCTTTTAGTTAATGAACTGTAATCTTGTTTGTATAAATTATTGCTGACCTGGGAAGAAGTTTCTGTTGGAGTTTTGTTGGTTCTATATGTGTTACAGTAACTGAAGTGTTATCAGTAACTACTTTTAGTGAAGTAAGCAAATATTACATAATTTATAAACCTAATTATTGCTTTAATTTTCTTCCCTATGCTCTAGGATACCAGATGGTCCCATTGATCAGGGGCCAGCTGCAGGAAGGGTACATGCTTTAGAAGAGCAGCTTTTAAAGGCCAAAGAACAGATAGAAAGCTATAAGAAGCGAACAGGAGATGGTTGGTAGAGAGATGTTTTCTTTTTCTTCTTAAACTCTTACATACCATATCACAAATGTTTCAATTTCGTCATGTACCACTTCACTGGAAATGCTGATATGTTTTTGCTTTTTAATAGCAGGCATGGGGAAAGACCATGAAATATTGAGAAGAAGGATTGAAAATGGAGCCAAGGAACTTTGGTTTTTTCTTCAGAGTGAATTGAAGAAGTTGAAAAATTTGGAAGGAAGTGAACTCCAAAGACATGTTGATGAATTTCTATCTGATCTGGGTCACCAGGAAAGGTACTAGTGCTAGTTGCTACTACATTTTTATTGTATTAAAGACTACAAACTGATTAAGGTACTGGGACATTAATTAGATTCCTTGCAAAGGGGGAATTGCTACTGTCTGGATTAAAATATCACGACTGGGCCATGAGCAGCAAATTATATCTGTATGTTAGGGGTCATTGAGTAAACCTTCTGTTTTGTCCATTAAGTCTTAAACAGAAGATGGAAACTCTGCTTGGATATTTTTATATGTATTTTTAATTTTGTCAGTGAGAAACCTATCATCGTTTATTATGGCTGCCTACTCATAGTTACTTTTCTCTCTCTCTCTCTTTCTATGACACCTAACAAAACACATAAAACATTTAATTTTAGATACCTTTTTTCAATATTTTAGGATGAAATGAATGATATTGTTCATCAGCATACAGTATAACTGGAATTACATTAAGACGAGAAGATGTCCTGATAATTTCAGGACTTATAGCCATTTAAGAAAAAGCTATTTCTCCTCCTAATTAAAGGTTAACAGAACATTTAAGATAAAAATGTAACTTTCCTTTAATTGCATTGCCATCATAGTGCTGTCCAGAGATACCTGAATTGTGTTTGCTGTTGAAGCTGATCCTAAGCCTTTCCCATTACTAAAAGTGTCTTTCATGTGAAATGAAAACATTTTAGTGCTAGTGTGTTCATGCAGAACAAAATGAATCCAAGATTCATTATAAATACAGTGAAAACTGTCCTTAGGCCTATTATATTTAAAAGCTTATGTTCCCAGTAGGATTCTGGTCTCATTAGTGAACAATAAAAGAAAAATTGTTTTGTTAACACAACTTACCACTGTGAAGTCATCCCTCACCCCCCTTTTTAAAACTAAATTAAGAGATCCTCATATGTTAACATAAATAGCAGTGTTAAAAGGAGTTCTGAAAAATTATCTGGTCTTACAGGAATACCTAGTAAGAATCTTCTTTTCTTTGAAATTCATTTTAGCAATCATGATTATGCTGAATTTTTCAAATAAAAATAGTATGAATTTAAAGTATTAGGAGAGCGGAAAGAGACATGGTCTACTAATTTTTTAATGTGATCCTTCAGAGCCTGCAGTTTATAGATACATACAGTTTAAGTCAAGGGACCACTAGATCAACTAGTCTTACCTTCTGTGTCTTGCGGGACATTAAATTTTGCCAAATTATTCCTGCATTGAGACCATTAAATTGTATTTGACTAAAGCATAATTTGTGTTTGGCTAAAGCATATCTTTCAGGAAGGCATCCAGTGTTATACTGAAGTCTTCAAGAAATGAAGAATCCACCCCTTCCCTTGGTTAATCTCTCCCTCATTTAAAAAAAAAAATGTGCCTTCTTTCTAATTTCGATTTGTCTGGCTTCAGTTTCCTGCCATTGGTTCTTGTTAGGTCTTTTTCTGACAGATTAAAGAGTCCTTCATAACCGGTATTTTCTTCCTGTGAAGTCACCTCTCAATCTTCTTTTTCCTAAATTAAGCAGATTGAGCTCTTTAGGTCTCTCACTTTAAGGCATTTGCTCCAGCCCTCAAATAATTTTGTGGATGATACAGTTTTCCAGTATCAGTCTCACCAATGCCATATATAGAGGTAGATCTCTATTCCTACTCACTACTTCTCTGATTGTACATTCCAAGGACCACATTATGCCTTTTTGCCACAACATCCCACTGGGAGCTCATGTTCCGTTGCTTGTCCGCTATGATTCCAAAATGCTTTTCAGAGTCACTGCTTTCCAGGATGTAATTCTTCCATTCTTCTTGTATGGCCTGCATTCCTGCTTCCTAGATGTATAACTTTGAATTTAATTATATTGAAGTGTGTTTTGTGTGAATGGGCTCAGTTTAACAGCAGTCCAGATTGTTCTGTGTGACAGCCAGGTCCTCATTGTTATTTACCTCTCAACCAGTCTCTGTCATCTTCAAATTTTATCAGCAGTGATTTTATAGTTATTTTCAGATCTTTAATAAAAAGGTTGAATAGTGCTGGGACTAGTACCAACTCCGCAGACCCCCCACTAGAAAATCACCAATTAATTATGATTCCCCATTAATAACTACTTCTTGAGATCTGTCAGTTGGCCAGCCCTTAAACAATGTAAGGTGGGCTGTATTGAGATTGTTTAGCACTAACTTTTTAATAGAATGTTGTGTGGTACTAAGGAAAATGCCGTACACACGTTTAAGTGTATTACATCTGTGCAGTGTAAGCATCCACATGGACTAGCTTCACGAGTAATTACCCAGGTCTAGGTGGGTATAGCCCACACTGAAGTTTGCCCTGCTGCAGCTTCACTGTTCCATGAACCAAGCTAGCATGATTAAAGGTAACTGCAGTCATGCCCTGTGGTTGTAAATTATACAGATTAGAAAGACTAACTACATTTTTATTGAGCATTTCTGGTGAAATTATAGACACCAAAAGAGAAGCTTGAGTTTCCAGAACCTTGATAAAAATTGTAACAGCTTGGCACATCTATTTCAATACATACTGGTGTTCAACACTTCCACACATTTTCTCATTTCTTCCGTGCCTCTAGTTTATTCAGCAGTTTCTCATGTTTCCATTCCAAATGCCATTTGAAGGAGGATGGTCTTTGGCTTCAACTCACAATCTTGTGGCATAACAATGTTCAATGCCGATGACCATATGCAGCATGTACTGTGCCTGGAAGCCTCCTATAACATCCATGAATTTGAAATTTGTCTGAAGATGTCATCCAGTACACTCAAGAATCATGGGAAATGCCTCTAAGTCATTATTTAGGCTCTCCAAGGAGAGTCCCAGATGTCTAACACAACGTTGCCTCACAGTGAGTTGAAGGAGAAATCCTCAAATCCAAGGCTAATTCTTCTGAACACTGCTGGGAGTCTGTACAGGTGATGCTCACAGAAGTGCTGATTCAGATCATTCCATCAGAGGTGCAGCGGGGCAGCCAGGCCTCCAAAGTGCCCATCCAGTTACCCCAAAGTACAGAGAACTGACGGGAAGGTTTCCTCTCAGGGGTCACCACTAAAATCAGTGGTGCTGAGCTCTGCTTTTTCTGAAGTGGTCAAGTTTTTGTAAAAGAGACCCCGACAGAAAGCAAGGAATTCCAGGCAATTCATAGAATCATAGAAGATTAGGGTTAGAAGAGACCTCAGGAGGTCATCTAGTCCAACCCCCTGCTCAAAGCAGGACCAACCCCAACTAAATCATCCCAGTCAGGACTTTGTCAAAACCAGGCCTTAAAAACATCTTAAGATGGAGATTCCACCACCTCCCTAGGTAACCCATTCCAGTGCTTCACCACCCTCCTAGTGAAATAGTTTTTCCTAAAATCCAACCTAGACCTCTCCCACTGCAACTTGAGACCATTGCTCCTTGTTCTGTCATCTGCCACCACTTTGAACAGCCAAGCTCCATCCTCTTTGGAACCCCCCTTTAGGTAGTTGAAGGCTGCTATCAAATCCCCCCTTACTCTTCTCTTCTGCAGACTAAATAAGCCCAGTTCCCTCAGCCTATCCTCATAAGTCATGTGCCCCAGCCCCCTGATCATTTTCATTGCCCTCCACTGGACTCTCTCCAATTCATCCACATCCTTTCTGTAGTGGGGGGCCAAAAACTGGATGCAATACTCCAGATGTGGCCTCACCAGTGCCGAATAGAGGGGAATAATCACTTCCCTCGATCTGCTGGCAATGCTCCTACTAATGAAGCCCAATATGCCTTTAGCCTTCCTGGCAACAACGGCACACTGTTGACTTGTATCCAGCTTCTCGTCCACTGTAATTCCCAGGTCCTTTTCTGCAGAACTGCCGCTTAGCCAGTCGGTCCCCAGCCTGTAACAGTGCATGGGATTCTTCCGTCCTAAGTGCAGGACTCTGCACTTGTCCTTGTTGAACCTCATCAGATTTCTTTTGGCCCAATCCTCCAGTTTGTCTAGGTCCCTCTGTACCCTATGCCTACTCTCCAGCACATGTACCTCTTCCCCGAGCTTAGTGTCATCCACGAACTTGCTGAGGGTGCAATCCATCCCATTATCCAGATCATTAATAAAAATGTTGAACAAAATTGGTCCAAGGACAGACCCCTGGGGCACTCTGCTTGCTACTGGCTGCCAACTGATCATCGAGTTGTTGATCACTACCCATTGAGCCCGACGATCTAGCCAGCTTTCTGTCCACCTTATAGGCCATTCATCCAATCCATACTACTTTAACTTGCTGGCAAGAATACTGTGGGAGACCGTATCAAAAGCTTTGCTAAAGTCAAGGTATATCACGTCCATTGCTTTCCCCATGAGAGAGCCAGTTATCTCATCATAGAAGGCAATCAGCAGGTGGGTACATACTGAGCCTGCTCCCCACTTCATCACCAAGCCTGCTTATAAGGAATAGCCTCAGCCAAGGAGCTCCAGTGCCATAGATTACTGCAAGGTAGGGTCTCTTATACCACCCTTACCCTGAGAGGGCTTTACCAGGGGGTCCTAGGAGAAAAGGCATGTTCCTTGGCCCTCACTCTTTTTGTATCCCCACTGGTTCCCTCTATCCCCCAACCCCTACTGTGTTTCCTCCCTCTGCTCTGGTATTCCCATGTGTGGTTCATCAAGACTCTCAGCTGGTAAATCACAGCCCCTCAAGTCCAAATAAAGTGGGTATCATTCCAAATGGTTAAAGTCTGTCAAAGTTACAAGCAACTTGGGTACTATAATCAGAAGTGTTAAGCAGCTCCATTCTCTGCCTATAATGTTGGATTATTAGTTAGGTTATTAAATGTAAAGTTATAGTATTTGCAGAGTAGACAAGGTAATGTTGTTATGAATAACATAATATTTTTCATTTGCTGACTCTTCTTTGCATAATTTGGGTATTGAGTGAATAGGAATCCAAACCCCACCCTACTATGAATACTGGATTTTGCCAAGAGAGCTCCTTTCCACATGCTGTCTGCCCCCGATTGCTTTCTTTCTCCAAGCCCCTCCCCTCAAAAAATCTTGGAT